TTCATAACATATTAAAGCATGCACAATACGTAATGAATCAAACACTAATCCATAAAACCATAGAAAGTGTTAATACATCAAATGTATCATAATAAAGCTCGCATAACAGTACATCATAGAGCACTAAACCAACAGGATGGGCCTACAGGGTCACACACGTAGGGCTATTACTATTTTCTGGAGTGTGCTTGGGAAGGTCTATTGTGATAGACTGAAACTCGATCATGAGTAGAGCAAGTGGGAGATTGATGGATATGGTGCTCTGACCACGATCGGTTTGCGAAACTGATTAGAAATCCATTAGATGGGTTTAGGTGGCTCAATGGGCCCATATGTTTATTAATGAAGTTAATGGGCTTGTTTTCCCTTATTAATTAAGTGAAGGCCCATAGGCCCATTTGGTTTAATGAAACCCTAATCCTTTTATAATTATGTTTAGGAAACATAATTTAGGGTTAAGAAAAGAAAAAAAAGTTTTTTTTCTCTCCCTCTCTCTCTCTCTTGGCCATCATCCTCTCTCTCTTCCGGGATTGTCTCGGTTTTCGTTCCCGACCTCTAGATCGTGTTCTAGCATACGCAAGCCCGTGCGTGTGGACTAGCTGTAGAGAACGTTGGATTTGTGACAGGTCTCTGGATCGAAACTGTGATAACCCAAATCCGATTTGATATTTAATTAGTTTCGGAAAAGAAGGATTACATGAGTATTAAACCATTAAGGAATAGACCACAAAGTGTTGGAAAGAGGCCCGGAAACCACCCCGAGCGAACGAGACGAGAAAAGACGAGAGGAAGGAGAAAATATGTCTAGACCGATCGGTCTAGTACGTAGACCGACCCGGTCTGGATCATCACGATAACATTGGACCGAACGAGCCAGAAAAAAAAAACGTCTGGACCGACCGGTCCAGGCGAAGGAAAATATCAGACAAACTGGCATTATTGGACGCGACACACATGCGTCAAAAGGAGTCTAATAGCCGCCTAACCCCACCCTAAGCGTAGTGGGAGACACCAGCTCGTAATCCTACTCTCCTGTGTGCACTAGAGCTGCCCCATCTTCCCTAAAAACCTGGCAAAAGAGAGGAGGTCAGCCATTGTTGCTGGAGAGATTTCAGAGAAGAAAAACAGAGAAAAGAGAGGAGAAGAAGGAGGAGGAAAGGAAGGAATGGGGAACGGAGCTCGGTGGAGCAACAAGGGACAGCCCTAGAATGTCTGAGAGGATCGCCGACGTCGGAATCGCCGAAAAACTCCATCAAATCCGGCCAAAACCAGAAATAGTTCTGGTTTGAGGTGAATGGCTCGAGTTGCCTCTGTGTGAGCTCATTTTCATCATTGTTATGGTGTTAATTTGATGAAACCTTTGCATGATTAGAAAGTGGAAGTTGCAATAAACACATAGAAACAAACGACACTCGATTTGGTGAAGAAACGAGTAAGATATGAAGGTTTGAAAATCGAAGAAAAACTGTAAATTTCAGAGAAGAACACAAACTTGTTCTAAGTCCGAGACTTTCGAGTCATTACCCAGAAAATAGATGTGATAATTGAATGAATTGATGGTTAGAATCAAAAGAGGACATTTCAATGAACATTTAGAAACAAACGGCACTCAATTTGGACAAGAAATGAGTAAGTTATGAGTCAACGAAGTTGGACCGAAATCTGGGACAAAATCGCGAAATTGCGATCTGTCTCCAGGGTCTAGATCGATCGATCCAGGCTCTAAACCGACCGGTCTAGACCCTGAAAATGCCTGAAATGCCCGAAAATGTCTGGACCAACCGTCCAGACCCCGGAGTGCCTGGACCGACCGGTCCAGACCAGAAAAGTGATGAAATTGAGCCAAAAAGGTCGTGGGATGAAATATAAACCTTGGATTGACCAAACTATGTGAAAAATGAGCCGGAACAATGACAAAACGTAAAAGGGATGAATCAGAATAAATCAATAATTTGAATGCGTGGTGAGATGTGTGACATACACCGAGTGAATCGTTGTGTGATGATTGGGTTTATTTTTCGATGGGTCATGAGAAGTGGCATCGGTCGTCACGAGAAGTGACGTGCGCATGAGGTGCATTGTTGTCGTGAGATACGACGGCCAACGTCATGAGATGTGACGGACGTGAGAGGCGCTCCTAGTCATGCGATGTGACTAGGGTTTACGGCTAACCCTATGGTGTGAAGCCATACGGAACTTGATTGTTGCGCGAAGCAACGGCCAACGTCATGAGATGTGAAGGCGTGAGAGGAGCTCCTAGTCATGCGATGTGACTAGGGTTTATGGCTAACTCTATGGTGCGAAGCCATACATACTTGATTGTCGTGAGATGCGACGGCCAAAGTCATGAGATGTGACGGGCGTGAGAGGCGCTCCTGGTCATGAGGAGTGACCAGGGTCTACGGCTAGCCCGATGGTGTGAAGCCATACGGGAATTGATATGATGATGTTCTAATATGATATGAATATATGTTTAATGTTGAATAATATATTTTGTGTTTTATCGTTTTAATATCGTTCTCGCTAGGAAGAGTTTACCAGACCCGACCCTTCACCCTTTTCAGATCACGAGGAGCACGAATAGCACGTTTGGGGTGACGAAGACTTCGAAGAGACAGCATCGTGTACGGGGTTTTCCTTATTTGTATGATTTGAATTATGGGACACGATTTCTATGTTTGTATGGTTATACCTTTTCAATTCGGACATGTGTTTTTTAAGACTTAATTGATGTTTAATTCCGCTGCGTGTTTAATATTAAAACGGTTTTAAAAATTCCCGTATTGTAATTTGTAATATTTTATTGCTTTTAGTCCATGCGGCACATCCTGTGACGGAAATCGGGATACGGGTGTCACAGAAACGGGTTAATATATCGATACCTTTATCATTATATGCAAGATCTGTTGTTTGGGTTTCGTTTATTCTATTTCGTTGCCTGAAACCCAAAGTTGGAACCCTAGAAACCGTTATGAACGCATGTTTAGGGATCTCCAAAACCCCAACATGGGCCCCTCGAGTGAGTTGAGACTGAGATGCGCACAACCAGATAAAAAGTCATCTGATGTTTCAGTTAACTCAACGAACGAGAAAAGCAGTCGAATCAGATAAGATGGCTGAATCCATGTCTCATGTTCGACATATGATATCGCGTTACAAAGGGATCAATATATGGACTATTACCGGTTTTCTTTAGATCATGAGACTAACTTTATTCGGATTAGGTAGTCATAGTATCTTGCTAGAGACCGCCTATGACTTGTATTACAGGAATGAAGATTTCGTGTCTTACTACTATTCCGAATGAGCCTACAGGGTCACACACAGGGACGGACACATGTGTGGAGTATAGGAAAGGAGAGACCGGTTTGGCCTGATAAACGGTTGTCAGAACGAAATCGGAAAGCTGAGAAAATATTTCTCAGACACTGGAACCGGACCGGATCCAGGTGGGCTCGGACCGGATCCAGTTGGTCCGATTTCGCCCAAACTCGGCCCAGAAATCAGTTTTAGGCCAGACTTGATCCAGACCGGATCTAGGTGGAACCGGACCGGATCCGGATTTCGGGAACTTTCCTATTCACTAAAATTAGGGTTTTAAGGAAACATAAGAAAAGGGGCACAACTCCTAGGGTTTTGGCAAGCCTCCTCAGACTTTTAGACTAGATCTGTCGACACCTCGATTGGCTCAGTCTTGGCTCGGTTTGGACGGTCTGTCGACTCCTCGATTGGTCGGTCCAGACCTTTTTTTTTGGAAATCCGAGTTATCACAGATTGGATCCAGGACCTGAGATGTTTATGGTATCCGACATGAGGAGTGACGTACTTTGATTGCGTCAAACGTTTTTCGTAACAAAAAGACTATAAAGGCGACTTTTGGGCACAAATCATGTGCAGGATAGTAGACAGTCAAGATGAGGATTTGTATCTCTTGTCCCAAAAGAGATATCGTTGGGTCCCCAAAGTGAGTGAGATACTGTGGAAGTGTGTGGTCGTATCATAGATGAACGTCATCTATAACTTACATGTAAAACAATCTCGAGACCTATAGTGTTTTGTCATTGATAGTTTATTCCTTTGTTCGTTTCTTGCTTTTTACATTTTTGTTACGTCTTGCTCTAGATCGAGTTCCGAGTAGAGATTTGATTAAGTTGTTTGCTTTATCCCCGTGTTCGACTCTGTTTGCTATACACGATCTGTGTACTTGCAGTGTTTGTTGAGTTTAGAATAATTATTACTTGATTCATATATATATCTAGATTTACGACATCATTCGCCTCATATCGCCATAGTTCGCAAGCCGACTTACGAGTCAAAGAAAAATAAAAAATAAAAAAATATTAAATATAATAAAAAAAAATATTGCAAACTCCTAAACAAGTAAGCATAAAATGTTTTATGATTGATTTCAGATCAAAGTTCGTTGGTTTTGAGCTGAAGACATTTTTTAATTTTTTTGCATTTATTTTTTCGGAACCAAGATCAGTTCTGGTATGGAAACATAAAAAGAGATTGGATGAATATTAAAAGTAACCTTCGATTTATTTGTGCAGCGGTTTATAAGAACTAGGATGTGTTATATTTTTTTTTTTTTTTGTTAAAGGTCGGTTTGTATTAATAATCACAAAAGAACTTGTACATTAAGAGCTTGTGATTCCTTCAAGAGAGAATAAATGGAAGGGTGTGTAACCCAAAAAACCAAAATAATGAAAGGTTAGTAAGAACAAAGACAACCTTACAAATAGATCAGAAAATACAATGTCATGGATTGGAGAATCAAATTTGTAACAGGGGCTCATATTTAACAATTATGTCTAAAATTCCTTAGTGAATCTATAGAATTATATACACCGAACTAATGTTAAAAGTGAATCCAGGTAAGTAAACAAAAAAAACAAAAAAAAAATGTTTTTCTCGACCAAACAATTCTATAGTTATTTTCTGATTTTATTAGATTGGTTCGGACCGAATGACATGGATCTAACCCAAAACCGGCATCATGCAGAGTTATAGTAAAAAACAATTATAAAATTAAAATTTGTTTTGTTCATATCTTTTTATTTATTCTTATCGATAAAAATTACAGAGAATGGACATATTTTTTTTCATGTCTTAAAGAAAGGAGCGTGGGCCCCGGAGTATGGCGGATGATGTCCACGTCGACAACTTGGGTCATGTTTACAGTTGGCTCCTGGTGCCTCGTAGTCCGTTACGCCCACTTCATCATCAATCTAATTTTAACCCAATATTTCTTGAGTTATTTCCAAAAATATTCAATTGAGAAACATATATAATTGTAATGATTTACCTTGCTGTTGGAGAGATCAACATATTTGGCCTCATCGGAACCTGTTCGAATGAAAAATAAATGTACAAATGATGTTTATATATATATTATATATATATATATATATATATATATATATGCGCGCTTGTGTGTGCATAATTTGTATATACAACCAAATTCGGGTAGTTTAATCAACGACGTAAAGTATTTATTACATCCCGAAATCGGATCTCAAATTAGAAAGTGCAAATTCTACTCACATGGTTTGATGTCGCCTTCAAACTTAGTTTGGACTTTGGTACAATATACCCAGTTATAAAAAAAAACTTATATATACACCGAATTTGATTATCTACATAACTGAATCTATTTATCTTTGAATAAAAACTTATGTGTTTTTCTTTTGAATATGAGATTAATTATTTTCGTCCTTCTATATGCACATATTGCATATGTGTACATATATATATAACCGCTCACATCTACGTATAAAAATATTATAATATTATAAATATTTGAAATTATTTATAGACCTGATTTTGTTGAAACCGTGAAATTTGAAAAAAAAAATAAAAAATATTAAAAATGGAAAAATATATTAAAAAAAACAGAAGAAGTTTTTTCATAAATCTCACCATAAGAACACAATGGAAGGAGTAGCAAACACAGAAAAAACACTAGTTTCATGATCAAATTAAACCCTTTTCACCTTTTTGTCACTTTTTTTTTTTGTTGAAACTTGAAATCCTTCAGTCACTTTACACATATATATATACGCAAATTTATATCATTTAGAAAATTAGCAACTTAATTATTTCATTAGACTGATTTTATTTGACTATTAGTTTTGGTAGATTCGTAACTAAATACATCTTGTCTTTTTTTCAAGTTGTTCATAACGGAAGAACTCCTATTTAATTTTAGAATATCATAAGACTTTTTTAGGGAAAAACTCAAAAAAAAAAATCTCAAACTTTCAATTTGATGGGAAAATAATTCATACACTTCTTAATGTGTCTAATTATTTCTAAATTTGAAAAAAGTGACTTAATAATTTTTAAAATTGTTTAAAAATATTATATCGATTCTTAACGTAAGTTGATCAAAATAATAATATTATAGTATCCTACATAGCACATCAGATATTAAGACAGGTCAAAATTTTATACTATATATACAGAATCAGATTTAATAAATTCGGTTTAACAAAATCCGTTCGAACTCTTACATGCATTACGTCGAATAGGTTATGCGCAATCTCTAACTGTACGCTCGTTAGAACCCATATGTTAAATTCGACGAAGAATTTCCAAGAATTGATGTTTAACTATTAAGAAAAGTAGAAAACGTCTACCGAATTCAATCAGAAAAAGACTGCAAATCTCAAAGATTCTTCGAAGTAGCAATGTATCCTAATCAAGTATTGTAATCTGGTTCTGCATACATAGTACAACGCCCGTATGATTTTATTATAGTATTACTTTGGTCAACTTACGTTAATGATCAATATGACACTTTTAAACAACTTTAGAAATTAATAAATCATTTTTTCAAGTTTAGGAATAATTAGACATACTAAAAAAATATAAAATATAGAAATAATTTTTTCACCAAATTACAAGTTTGAGAATTTTTAAGAGGTTTTTTTTATGGATCAGTAATTATTATGTCATTTTTATGTGACACTCGTAACCCGTATCCCGTAATAAAAACACAATTCCCAAAAATCTGTGGAAATTTAAAACTTTTCTTTTTCACAATTAGCGGAAGAAAAACATTCATACATACATATATGATACATTATTCCAGTTATAATTATACATAGACGAGTGGTAGCGATAGCATTATTACAAACTGTAAAAGTCTATCACTGATATAATACAAAACCGTTTTCCCAAAAGCATAAATGTACCATAGTAAATATATACATGAGTCAACAGGTCGTCCAGGTCTCCGATGTCCGCTTCGCGGCTACTGCTGTTCCCAACTTGAAACATTGCGTAACAAAGTCCTAAACTAATTGTTTAGAGAGTGAACTCCGGCGTAATTCGGAATTCTAATTCTCATAGAATCAGGAAAAGCAATAAATATATAGATATATTTATGTGTGTATATATTTATATATGTATATATTTATATGTATGTATCTGTGTGTATATATGCATGTATGTATATGTAGATGTATATATGTATATATATGTATTGATATATATGGATGTGTTTATGTGTATGTATATGTGTATATATGTATATGAATATATATATATATGTATATATGTATGTATATATGTATGTATATGTATATCTGTATACTTACATATATTTATGTATGTATATGTGTATGTGTGTATATATATGTATATGTATATGTGTATTTTTATTATTTATTTTAGTAATTTATTAATTTATTATTATGAATTTATTTATTATTTATTAATTTTAAAATTTTATTCTTACGTGACGATGATGTGGTGATGATTTGGAGAGAAATTAAAATTTTTTGTAGAATTTTGTTTTTCTAAGCGAAGATTATTAAGCGAAGATTATTTAACTGTAGTTTTTGGGATAAATTAATTGTACAAGTATAGATAGAGAAAAGTATAAAACCGAGAACCAAAAAAATACTAGTATTTTTCGGCGATTATCTTTTTTTAACACATTAAAGCTTTTTTTTATTCCTGAACAATATAAAATGAAACCTTAGGGAAAAATTTTAGGATCAATTCAAAATTCATAACTTTCTCCATGGCAATCAGAATTTAAAAAAAAAACGAGCCTCGATTACATTCCAATAACATTAATTTCACTATTTACGATAGATCTACAAGCCCAACATAAGGCCCAATAAAACAGCCAAAACCAAACAAGACTTTAGAACCCGTCCATTTAATGTTATTGGATTAAAAGCCGAGGCCCAATAAAACGATATCCCGCATGGAATAATGAAGTGCTTAAACGACGTCGTTAAGAGGTAGTGTATTTTGGCAGCCGTTGGATCAGACGGGGAGCAGGCAAGCCATAGTTGTGAAACAATGTGAGCCGTCCACCCCAGCCACCGGTGATGATAACCAGCCCCCAGAGATGGGAAGACTCCGATGTTCTCTGGCAAGAAGACTGGATAAACTTGTACCGTGACCTCCCGATGGCCTTCGCTGGAGAAAACAAGCTCCCGAGCTTCTCCTCAGCCAAGTCGCCTACTCCTTCGGGGAATCAAGAACGAACTCTCGACCCAACGAGAAGAGGCGACATTCCCGATCTCCCCGAGAATTCTGTGTTGAAGCCACGCCATGGGATTGCCACGGAACGTCCGCTGAGAATCTCTTGAATGCTCGTATTGTCATATGTTTTGACTGCGAGAACGAACCTATATAGAGCGTTCAGGGTCATTGCTATTGCCATTTCCCGGCACTATGAAGTTCCAGATGAAAACGGTAGAGCCCTCGCAGGCTGATATGATGTGCTTTTTGTCCGCCATGAAAGACGCGGATATCTGATTCCCGCCATTGCGAGGGCTTGTACGAAAAGAAGATAACTCGAAGTTCGATAATAACTCGGTGAGAAGGAGGTTAAAAGATTTAGGAACCTTTGTACTTCTGGATAACGTTGACGCCATCGAGGATCCTGACTTGTGAATCCACAAACACTACCATGACTTTGCTTGGGTCATTTGAAGCAAACTGGACGGAGATATTAGTCGCGTATCGTTAAAGATATTCAATCCCGAGCCACAGATCAAATCCATAGGCGATGATTCGGAAGAACAAACACACACACACTTGAAAGCTGGTAATTCCTTTGTTGGACGACTTCTTTCGGTTATGCAGACACATCTCAGCATCGAGTTGTAAGTGATGATCTGTCAGAAACATACATGATACGGTGTAAGAATATCGAGAGCAAACCGCAAGATATCGCGGGAAAAGGATATGTCGAAACGAACATTACGTGCGCACCCGAAAGGTTATAGAAGCAGCAATCCTTGGCAGGGTTCCAACCCCTCCCTGAGATCACCAAACGTCAAAAAGTAAACGGGAAAATCCCAAAAAAAATACTGAATTTTTCAATTTTGACAAAAAACACCGAACTTTATTTATTGTCAAATAAATATTAAACTTTTTAAACGGATTTAAAAAAACAGTGACTTTTTTAAATAATCCAAAAAAATACATGAACGTTTCTGCAATTATCAAAAAAACACTAAACTTTTTTAGTGATTCAAAAAAATACATGAACTTTTTTCGATTGTCAAAAAAACTAAGTAAAATAATCTGATGTGTTTGCATTTTTTTGTATCACGTCAATCATTTTGTTTATTTTGACAATCGCAGAAGAATTAAATGTTTATTTTGTCAAATTTAAAATATTTAATGTTTATTTAATAAAATAAAATGTTTAGTGTTTTTTTTTGTCAAAATTTGAAAGTTGGGTGTTCTTTTTGGGATTTTCCCAAAATAAACTGACCAATAGATTTTGCGATTCCGATGTGAAAGAAAGCTTCGGAAATAAGAGAACCGAACCTGCCCGTCTGGACGGTAACAGACAGCGGTGACAATGTCTCGAACGTCGGCCCAATCTATGACTTGGCATTAAGGAACTGACCAAATATGAACTTTCCCATCTATTGAACCGCTAATGAAGTAATCATCGTGAACCGGGTTGAAGTGGACGGGTGTAACTGCCGAATGTAAAATCTGAAACCTAATGATCCGTTTACAAGAAAATGACGATAAAAAAACGTGGCATAGAAGGAACATCATTCCGTAGTTACTGTGAGAGAAAACTCCGAGGCATTTTTCGTAACCCATCTGCCGTAGCCGAACAGTTTTATCTGCCGAAGCTGACAAGAGACGCTGCCACCAAGATCACACAATGATCAACTCGGTCTAGTTTCTGTTCTCAAATTGCAGACAAAGGGACTAAATCTAAAATTCTTGGATGAATTCAATAGAAAATAGATTCTTGTATGAGCAGAAGGCGACATAATTCATTTCTGTGAGTTGAGAAAGCGGGACGAAGGAAAAAAGAAAAACAAAACGGAAATCGGGTTCCACAATAGTTCAAAGGATATGCAAAATGGAAATCGGGTTTATCGATTGTTCGAAGATAGCAACTCACGTTGTTCTTGGACCATGAGATATCGAGGATGCCACCGTTATGGCCAAGATAGACGTGAACAGTTCTCTCGAGAACCCGAAAAACCTTCGGGGGAAAAATAACACAAGTCGAGTCTATTGTCTTCCTCGAACTCATCATTGTACTAGTAACCTTCTCCTTTTCCGCAACCATGAGTTTCAACTCAGAAAGATTGTTCGCTTCGAAGAACACACAAGAGGGATCAATCTTAAGAATGTCATCATGTTCATCGAATCTATCATCTTCAACAATGCTCCAAACCCGCAAAACCCCCCTCTTCACCTCCACTCGCAAGAAATTTCCTGTCGGGGCTGAATTTCATCGCGAGAATCGGCCCTCGTGGGCTTGTATTTCTTGCTCCTTGTAAAGAGTCGAAAGCTCCTTGACTCGTTTATTGTACTCCTTAACCTTAACTCTCTCGATCCCGCTCCCAAAAGCCATAGCACTATCCTCGGCATCTCGAGATCTCCCCTTATTACGCACTTTTCTCAAACGATTCAATCATTTTCTGGTCTCCTGATCCAAACATCGTATCGGAAAACACTCGGAACTGAAGAATCTTTACCCGGAATCGATGGTGTCGAATCATTG